AGCTACTCAGCACACAGACTGAATGAGAATGGTGAAGAGACCTAACCGGAAGCACATCTTTCCTAATTTAAACTATTCACTAACCCCCTGTTCTGTTCAAATGACTGCCTCTTGTTTGAAGCACAGGTTCCTCATGAGCATTAACTGAGTGCATTAATTGATGTTCTGGAATTCCCATTCTTCACATTGCTATCCACAGTTTATCATGATCCACACAGCTGAATGCCTTTGCATAGTCAATAAAGCACAAGTAAACATCTTTCTGGTATTCTCCGTTGTAGCCAAGATCCATCTGACATAAGCATTGATATCCCTCATTTCAAGTCCCCTTCTGAATTTGGCTTCAGTTTCTGACAGCTCCTTGTCAGCATACTACTATAACTATTTTTTAATTATCTCCAGCAAAACTTACTTGTGTGTGATATTAATATTTTCCAATGATTTCCACATTCTGTTGGGTCACCTTTCTTCGGAATGGGCACAAATATGGATCTCTTCCAGTTGGTTGGCCACGTTACTATCTTCCAAATTTCATAGTATAGACAAATGAGTATTTCCAGCACTGCATCAGTTTATTAAAACATTCCAATTTATATTCCATCTCTCCTGGAGCTTTGGTTTTCACCAATACCGTCAGTGCAGCTTGGACTGCTTCCTTCAACACCATCAGTTCTTGTTCATACGCTACCTTTTGAATGGTTGAATGTCAACCATGCAAACCACCACAAGACGACAAACTGACAGATGAGTGATGGCCTTTGTTTACTTCGCTTTGTTGTAGTTGTTGTTAAGTGCAATCAAGTCAGTTCCGATTCACAGTGACCCTGTATAAGGCTTCCGAGGAGCAACTGGTGGGTTTGAACCACCAATCTTTCAGCTAGCAGTCCAGTGCTTATCCTATACCATCACACCAGGACTCACTGCTGTTAAGAGCCAATTAGTCAGTTCTGATTCATAGCAACCCTGTATAGGGTTTCTGACGAGTGACTGTTGTATTTGAATGGCCAACCTTGCAGTTAACAGTCCAGTTCCTATTCACAGAACCACACCAGGACTCCCTAGTTTGGCTAAAATCCAAACACTGACCACATGCTGGTGAGGATGTGGGGCAACAGGAATTCTCACTCATTGTTGATGGGAATGCAAAACTTTCGGAGAATCTGGCAGTTTCTTACAAAACTAAATATAAGCTTATCATACTACCTAGCAATTACACTCCCAAGATATTTACCCGAAAGAGTCAGAACTATGTACACACACACAAGCCTGTAAATAAATGTTTGTGGCAGCTTTATTTATAATTGCAAAAGAACTTGCACTTCAACCAAAATTTCCTTCAATGGGTTAATGAATAAACTCTGACACATCCAGACAATGGAGTATTATTCAGAAATAAACAGAAATAAACTATCAAGCCACCAAAAGACATGAGGAAAACTTAAGTGTACACTGCTAAGGGAAAGAAGCCAGTTCAAAATAATCTCTATACTGTGTAATTTCAACTGTGACATTCTGAAAAACACAGAAGTAGCGAGACAGTGAAAGGATCAATGGTTGGCAGGAGTTCAGCAGATGGCAAGAATGATAAACCGGGGATTTTAAAGGCAGTGGGACTACCCTGTATTAGATGGTAATGATGGGCATTGAGCATCGTGCATTTGTTAAAACCCACAAAACGATTCCACCAGAAAGTAAACCCAAGCGTAAACAATTTTACATCATAATGTTACAAACCCACAAGTGAATAATAATGCATCAGTATTGCTTCTACAGCAACAAATGTACACTGGAATATAAGATACTAATAACAGGGAATACAAATGTTAATAACAAGAGAAACTGTATGGGGAGGGTGGGGAGAGGGCAATTGTGGGAACTGTATATTCTGTGCAATTTTTCTATAAGCTTAAAACTGCTCTAAAAAGTCCTGGTGTGGCACTGTAGAATAAGCACTGGACTGCTAATCACAAGGTCAGCAACTGCTCCTCAGAAATTCTATACAGGGGGCACTATGAGTCGGAACCAATATGACGGCACTTAACAAGAAGAGTCACAATACCGATTTTAAAAATGTAAGCAGAGAGCTCTTATCTGTACTACAGAAATCCTCCCTGGACATATCGCCCTCCCTTGGCCCTCAACACGCTCACCCAGAGTGAAACACCTTCCAAGATGCATCTCTCTGCTGTAACTATGAGAGAAAGCATCGTTATCACTTAAAATCTGCCCTCTATTAACGGTGCCGGAAACGAAAATCCTCCCAACTGGATTAATAAACAACATCTTCATAAATGGAAAAGAAATGGAGTTTCCAAGGATATCATTCTACTTGGACCAACAATCAATACCAAAGGAAGCAGCAGTCAAGAAATCAAATGACATATTGCACTGGGCAAACAGGCTCCAAAAGTTTTAAAAAGCAAAGATATCACTTTGATGCTAAGACACATCAGACTCAAGATATGATCTTGTCAAGAGCCTCATCTATATACAAAATTGGATAATGGAAAAGGAAGATAGAAAAATTGTTGTGTTTGAATTGTGGTGTTGATAAAGAATACTGAATACACTGTGGACTGCCAAAAGAACACATACGTCTTAGAAGAAATGAATACACTGGAATGCTCTTTGGAAATGTGGATGAAAAGATTCTGATTCACTTACTTTGGACATATCATCAGGAAAGATCAACGAATAAAAAGGATATCAGGTTGGGTAAAGTAGAGGGCCGGAGAAATGAGTCAAACGCTCACTGAAATAAACCTTGAAAATGACACAGGACCAAGCTATGGATGTGTCTTTTTTTCCTTCTGTTATACACAAGGTCACCATGAGTCAGCGCCCAAAGACATCTAACAACGAAAGTTAAAATGCACAAAACTGTCTGTTGTTAAGTGCCTCTGAATCAATTCCAACCCATGGTGGTGGTGGTGGTGGTTATGTGCTGTGGAGTCAGTTCCAATGCAAAGCGACCCTGCACAGGGTTGCCAAGGCTGTACATCTTTACAGGAGCAGAAAACCTCATCTTTCTCCCATGGAACGGCTGGTAGTTTTGAACTGCTTACCCTGAGGTTAGCAGCCTGACTCATAACCACTATGCTACCAGATGTTTTCCAAGGTGGGTTTGAACTGCCGACCTTGAGGCTAGAGGTCCAGTGCTGATTCTACAGCGCCACACCAGAAATCTGTCTAGATAGGGCAAAAATACTGTTGTTTTATGTTTTTACTGCAAGGTAGGTGGTCCCAACCCACCAGCCACTCCTTGGAAATCCTATAAAGGGTGGCTACAAGTCGGAATTGACTCCACAGCATGTAACAACAACAATATAAACGCAACAACAAGTGTACTAAAGCAGTAAAGAAGGTGGAGGCAGGCCATTAAAATAAGTAACAGAACATTTCAAAGCAAGAAGAACTGAAATCTCAAATGCTGTACCTTGATCAACAACTAAAGAAAGTATATTGGTCACTCAGGCTTTGTCCACCCTCCTCCCACACAACATGTATTGACGTTCTTAAAAAGCCACAGCAAAGACTATGCAACATTCATGTAATGGTGGTGTGTGTGTATGGAAAATAAATTTTAAAAGGGCTGAAAATTAAATTATAGTGGGGCAAGTGAATACTTTAAATACATCCTCCACCAACTGCCATTGATGAAACTCTGGTTTGAAAACAGACTTGTAAATTTTTAAAAATGTAAATTTCAGAGTGAAGTGGAACCAGTTTTCACATTCTCAGAGGAGGAAAAAAAATCTGATTTAAAAGCAAAATGTCTTTAGTGAAAAGTTTGAAGTTATGTGATAATTGCATTTTTAATCCAGGATGTGGGCGCTGTGCAGGGTAGAAACAAACTTCAATCGTCAGTATCTTACCCCATCATTTCTGTCTCCTTTCTTACTGATGTGGCTCTCAGTCACAACTGCAAATTTCTTCTCTCATTTCAACCAAACTAAGAGATCTAAAAACATGGGAAACATATGGCCTTCAAACATCTACAGGAAAGCTGCTAATCAACATCCTTTCAGTTCTGTCAACACTCAAAGTGCCAAACACAAACTTGAAGATGCTGTGGTCCCCAGTGAAAAGAAGGCTCCTCCTACAGCCATAAGAAAGATACCAGGTTTCAGTTTTCCACTGTATTTTTTTTTAAGCCATAAAAAAGAATGAACTGAACACAAGTAATTCCTTCCATTCTTACATCTAAACACGCACAACAAACCCCTCCATTTTCTTCTTCCTTTCTCTAAATTAGAGAAATTCATAATAAATATGCTCACTTGAAAGGCATTAAGGATTCATTTTGAGAACCGAGTTTTTAGAAGACAGGTTTAGATGAGCGAAGAGAGTTAGGTTGAGATGTTCTTTTCCTAATTCCTGCACTGCAAGGAGATTAAGTGTATTTGTTTTCAAACAATAAGCGCGTTTGGAATGCACAGCGATGCAAAGTAATTCGAGGTGTAAGAAACAGACAAGGCAAAGCATGTTTGTGCACCGGCCACTCAGTCACAAAGGGTGCCCTGCCAAACCATGAAAAGGCGTTGACGAACCCCGCAAGTCCAAGGCTGGCTGCGCCCGCAAATCGCATCCTAACCAACGCAAACTAGCTCCGGGACAGCCGGCTGCCAGCGGCGGATGTAGGGGTGGGTGGTGGGCAAGCGAAGCAAGAGAACCAGGCAAACACTGAGCTCGAGTCTTGGAGGGCGAGGCGGGGGAGAAAGTGGGGGAGACTGAGGGAGCGGAGCGCGGGAGGGCGCGCGGCGGGTACCCGGGAGGGGAAGACAGTGGAGTAGGAGTGCGGGTAGAAAGGGATGATATGACTAGGGCGCAGAAGCCAGAACACGCCGGGCAGGCGACTTAGAGACCAGGGTCTGGAGCAGAGATCAGCGAACCACCGAAGGGAGGGGAGGGGGCTTCTGGGCGCCAGACACAGGTTGAAGCGCGAGAACAGGCCACGCGGTGTACGCGGCCCGGGCGGGGAGCCGGGGCGCTTAGGTCACCTGTATTGTTTGAAAAGCTGGTCCGACTCCCTAAAGCCGTTGTTGAGCAGCATGTTGATGCCAGCCAGGGCGAGTTCCGCGTCCTGCAAGGGAGCCACCGCTGCGGCCGAGTCTCCGTCGTCCCGCCGCCGCGGCCGCTGCTGCTCCGAGCCGGCCATGGGCGCGCACGGGACTGCGCGGGGCTACGCGGGGCTGCTGCGAGGGTCGCAAGGCAGCTGCTGCGTCGGGCGCGAGGAGGGCACCCGCGTGTCTGGCCCTACCTGCGCGGAGCCAAGCGCGGGAGCGCGGGGGAGGAGCCGCGGCCCGGCTGCAGCGCGTCGGAGGATGTGGGCGCCCAGGCCCCGCCACCCCCGCGCCGCCGCGGGGAATTACTCAGCAGCCGCCCGCTCGGCCCGCTCACTCGCAGACACCCGGCTCACGCTGGCACTGGAGCGAAATCTGTTTCCGGGTGTCTTTCACCCTGCCGAGCCGGTCCCGCAGGGACCACCGCCCCCGCTTCCTGCAGCCCCTCCACGGCGCGGCCCTGGCCCAGCCTCTCGGGACCTTTGCGCCGTGACTGAACCCACACAGGGGAGGCCCCGTAGGCCAGTACCCTGGGCCCACCCCAAAGGGCCCCACCCGGGGGCTCCCCGAGAGGTGGGGCGGGCAGAGAGTGAACCAGGAAAGAGGGTTGAAAAGGAGACGGGAAACTCCGCCTGGGTCGCAGCAAGAGAGCGGGACTGCGCCCGGCCAACCGTGATTCTGACACTAGTGCCTGAAAGCCGGCACAGCCAGCGCCCTGACCCCAACTCATCTGTACCCTGGGGCAGCCCACTAAGGGCTGAGATGGCCAATCCCCGAGGCGGTGGACGGCGGGGGCGGGGCCTCTAGGCACCTGCGGTACCGCAGCCGGAACCCAATGCTGGGGCACAGGCCCGGAAAGCTCTAGAATCCCGGTACCCACCTACTCTTGACCTTCCATTACCATCGGGCAAATGGACATATTCTATGTCTAAATATTTAAAAGTTGTAAAAAGCTAACAAACTGTTAAGATGTGTTACACTCACCCTGGCAATTTTATCTGCATGCATATAAAATAGAAAAATGTATTACGTTTTATACGACCAAATGTCAGCAGAATGTCAAAGACAGAGGAATTAAATCAATATTGTGTATATCTCGGTGCTCTGATAATACGCTGGTGATGTTTGAGTAATTTTATAAAGACATTCGTAAGTCACCTTTTGTTGTTCCATAAAATGCATTTGCATTATCTTTATTTTAACAAAATCATTCCATATGGTATTAAAAGCACCATTGTGTTCTTAATGGCATAGACCACCGTTCCTGAGTTACGTATGTAGTTCGTGTTTTTATGTGTGGACTAGTTGATTTTTGCCATTCCTTATAATAATACAGGTGTATAGGCTCCTTGGAAACCGTACACAGGGTTGCTATGGGTCGGAATCGACTCGATGGCACTTAACAACAACAACATAGGATTACTGAGACTGTAAACTCTTCACGGGAACTGAAAGCGTTCTCTTTCTCCTGCAGAGCGGCTAGTGAACTTGAATTGCCTACTTTGTGGTTAGCAGTCCAGTGCCTATCTTACACAGTTCTTGTTGTAAGTGTGTAGAGTCGGTCCTGACCCATCGCTCCCCTGTATAGAATTTCCGCTGCTGGGTTTGAACCAGTGTCTCACCAGGACAGTTTTTACAATGTAGTTTATTGATTTTAATTCAAAAACGTTTTACTCTGCCGAGGCATTTACAACTAAAATAGTTTTAAATCTTTAAAGTGATATTCAGATTTAGAAATCATGAATTTTACATATGCTGAGAATTGTGTTGGAATCAATCTCCAAAATGTTACAAAATGATTTTAATTTCATCATACAAATCCTATTACTTATTTTGTGATTGTTGCCATTCCTTACAATAATATCTAAACCCTACAGTATTTCCATCATTCATCACAAACATTTAAAGAATTATAGGAATTGTTTATAATGCAGAAAATTCCTTAGCTGCCATGTGTAACTGGTACAAATGTCATGCAAGTTCTTCAGCACATCTAGAACCACAAATCTGAACCAAAAGAAGTAACAAAAGGAATGATTCTCACTCTTAGTAAATTATATTTCATAAAGCAAAAACCATCACATTCATATATCTGGATTGAAGGATTTAATAAGTCGACCAATATTTTCATCTAAACACTTCAAAACAGTGTTAGTCTTTAAAATTAACAGTGTCACTATCCTATGTGGCATGAGATGCTGTAACCTTTTACTTTAGGAAACAGAGAAGAAGCAACGAGTAGTGTGCAACTGGGCCTAAACATTGTTGATCATGAGAATATAGGGTCCACTAAGCAAACAGATTTGTGTTGGAAGAAGTGCAGCCCCAGTGCTCTTTGGAGGCCAGGATGGCCAGACTTCGTCTCTCATACTTCAGACATATTGTCAGGAGGGACCAGTCACTGGAGAAGGAT